ATGATACATGATGATGATACACGATGATGATACATGATGATGATACCTGATGATGAAGATGATGAAGATACATGCTGATGATAAATGATGATCGTGAAAATGATTGGGATGCCAGGAGGTACCTATCATACAAGATGATTATGATAACGATGATGAGAATGGTTGTGATTATGATGTAAAACGCTTATTCTCCACTCCTAAACTATTTCAGGATCTGATCAAATGTACACCGGCCAATCATCCTGATGCTCGACCAATAAAAGAAGGACTTCGTAAAATGGTATGAGCAATAGATAAGTATAACATAAATACACCTTTTTATATTCGTAAAATGCCGCTGTGTTCCTTGATTGCAGACTCGTTTACTTAGGGCTTGCCTTATTTTAGTGTCTTAATATTCACAAATACCAACGGTAAAGTAAAGAATGCACAACTTCAACAATACGAACACCTTCAAAATCGAGACTAACCCTGAGCAACAGAGAGCTCGAAACTGGAGTATTATCTTGAAGTATGGTTTCCATGTTTCTGTTAGGCTAAAAATGTCACTACAAGCTAAAGGGCCGGTTTAGACGGTAGATTTTCGCCTACAACTATTGTATACAACACGCTCGCGCCATCCTACAACTCGAGTCGCAGCGTGTTAATCAAGCCTACAACTCGCCTACGACGGACGCGAGCGTGTTGTATACGATAGTTGTAGGCGAAAATCTTACCGTCTAAACCGGCCTTAAGAGAAAATGCTTATATTATTTTCTTTTAAGAAAGAAGATACTGGCCGATTTGTTACCCGAGTCCATGCTCGTTTATCTTTATCTCATCCAGCTTCTTTTCTTTTCTTTTCTTTTCCCCTTTTAATTTAGAACAACATTGCTGAGTACATCAACAACCAACTGCAAGCCGTCCAAGGACAGCGAGCAATGACAGAACTAAGATCCAGAGTAATTGGAATCAAGGTAAGCACCACAGGGTGCCCAATTTGAATAAAAGTGTTAGTACGGTACTTGCGTTGTGCGCTTTTCATTTTTATGACCAGTGGAGGGCATAAGTGGCTGCATGTTAAGGCGCTATTAGCAGCTCTGCAGCTTACGATCATGAGTGAATTGTTAGTGCATGAGTGTTATGCTTCCAAATTGGGATAGGCTGTTGAACCGGGAGACAATCCCCTACACTTATACGAATAGTCCCCCATTTTACTGCAGTTTAAAAAGGATTGGACGACAAGTTTTTATCCGAGAAGACTTAATGTCTAACCATTGAATCGGACTCCCTGTTTAAACACAAGGTTTTCTGATTTTCCTGTGCTTTGGGTTCCCTGTGTGTTTTCTCTAGGCTTTTGAGACGGCTGGCAAATCGCTCATCAAAGAAGGAGAGGTCTACATCATGAGCACGAAGCGAACGTACAAGGTCTGTACTGTACCCTAACTACTTCATGTAAACCGTAAAAGACCTGGGCATGCGCAATAGGCATCGTGAACTTTTGGCGGGAATGACGTCATAGGCGCACAAATATTTGACAATATAATAGATCTCCTATTTGGATGGTGATGATGGCGACAATGATTATGATGGCGATTGCGATGATAACGCAATACGCATGTCACATTACGAGTAAGCCTCTGAGTCAAAAGTGCCACATGGAACAGCGCAACCACACGAAAGTAGTCATCAGAAAAAGACTTCAGACATTGGTTGGTCATAGCAAGGGGTTAATCATTTACGGTCTAGGGGCCGACTAACCTCTCCCTTAGGCTTCGGTCGAGCTTCCTGATCAGTCACTGGATAGCGGTGTCGGGGCCGAAATCTCCGGCATAGCCGTAAATGCTTCGCGCTGCCATACTGCGCTTCAGCACTGGGTCTGGAGGTATGGTCCTTTTTCGTAAATTAAAAAAATATATAAAACTTTGAGGATGGTGAAGGTAATGAGTGATGGCGTTGTTGGTAATGATGATGGTAGTGTTGGTGATAGTGATGATGATAACGTTGACGGTGATGTCGTCGGTGATTGTGAGGATGATGATAATGTTGGTAATGATGGTGATGATGTTGACGATGATGATGGTGATGATGATGTTGGATGATGATGTTGAATGATGATGATGACGGTGATGGTGTTGGTGATGATAGTGATGATGTTGATGATGATGACGGTGATGATGACGTTGAATGATGATGGTGATGATGATGATGTTGAATGATAATGATGATGGTCATGATGTTGTTGAATGATGATGATGGGGGTGATGATAATGTTGAATGATGATGATGGTGGTGGTGATGATGATGTTGACGATGATGATGGTGATAATGATGTTGAATGATGATGATGGTGATGATGATGTTGAATGATGATGGTGATGATGATGATGATGTTGAATGATGATGATGATTATGTTGAATGATGATGGTGATGATGGTGATGATGATGATGTTGAATGGTGATGATGATGATGTTGAATGATGATGGTGATGATGATGGTGATGATGATGATGTTGAATGATGATGGTGATGATGATGATGATGTTGAATGATGATGGTGATGATGATGATGTTGAATGATGATGGTGATGATGATGTTGAATGATGGTGATGATGGTGATGATGATGATGGTGATGATGATGATGTTGAATGATGATGGTGATGATGATGTTGAATGATGATGGTGATGATGATGTTGAATGATGATGGTGATGATGATGTTGGATGATGATGGTGATGATGATGATGTTGGAGGATGATGATGTTGAATGATGATGATGACATGTTGACAATAAATGACTGTGATCATAATGACCAGGAAACCCTTTCCTTGACAGTTCTAAATAACAATGCTCAATATTTTGTTCTGTTTCAGTGTCTTCTCTTCAATGACATGGTAGTCTTTGCGGCCAAGAATGTCAACAAACGCAGTGAGGTCGAGCTTACGTTAGAACTAGAATCTGTCTGGGTGGCTGACCTAGAGGATAACGATCCACAAACCAGTGAGTTATAATTATGATCATCATCATCATCATCATCACAAGTAGCAGCAGCGGCAGTAGCACTATTATCATTACCATCATATCATCATCAGCAGCAACAGCGGCAGTAGTACCATCATCACCATCATCATCACCATCATCATCATCATCACCATCATCATCACCATCATCATCATCATGTCATCAGCAGCACCACCACCATCATCAGTAGCAGCAGCAACACCACCACCATCAGTAGCAGCAGCAACAGCGGCAGTAGCACCATCATAAGCAGTAGCAGTATCAGCAGCGGCATAAGCACTATTATCATTACCATCATCAGCAGTAGCACCATCACAATCATCAGAATCTTTATCATCAACAAATTATTTATCATCATCATCAAAATCTTCAATAACATCATCACCATCATCATCACGTACTATGATCATCATTCTCACGAATTCCACCGTTATAACGATTACTATCTATCATTATTATTATCATCTTCTATCTCGTGACGGGGCATTATTTAAATCGTGTCTTTGCTCTTTTCATCAATTTATTCTCGGTTTACTCGGCTTAAGGGAAGCATGGGTGGCCTAGCGGTGCGAGCGCTCGCCTCTCATCAACGAGACCCGAGTTCAAGTCCCGCCGGGCTCGGTGTTGTATATGAGTAGAGCTGTTTGTTGATCTCCTGTAATTCGAGGGTTTTCCGGGTTCTCCGGTTTTCCTCCCTCCGCCCTTAGCCACTGGCTATTAATTTCTACCCTCGTGAAAAAAGGACGTTTTTTTTACCTCTCCAACCAGGCAAAGAAGATGCCATCGAGCTGTACACCCCGGAGCGATCCTATACGATGTACACAGGAACAAGGAACGAGAAGAAACACTGGTTACAGAAACTAAGAACCGCCATTGCTATCCGCCTGCATGGAGAGATGGCTACAGACAGCAGTGAAATAGGTATATATTTCCATTTCAGACCATGTGTCATTCCCTTGAGTAGTATTTCTTTCTTTACTAAGAATGCTTTTCAGCTATGGTGCAATGTTTTCCCATTTCAGACCATGTGTCATTCCCTTGAGTATTATTTCTTTCTTTACTAGGAATGCTTTTCAGCTATGGTGCGATGTTTTCCCATTTCAGACCATGTGTCATTCCCTTGAGTAGTATTTCTTTCTTTACTAGCAATGCTTTTCAGCTATGATGCAATGTTTCCCATTTCAGACCATGTGTCATTCCCTTGAATATTATTTCTTTATTTACTAGCAGTGCTTTTCAGCTATGGTGCAATGTTTTCACACTTCAGACCATGTTTCATTCCCTTGAGTCAGTATTATTTCTTTCTTTACTAGGAATGCTTTTCAGCTATGGTGCAATGTTTTCCCATTTCGGACCATGTGTCATTCCCTTGAGTTTTATTTCTTTCTTTACTAGCAATGCTTTTCAGCTATGGTGCAATGTTTTCCCATTTCAGACCATGTGTCATTCCCTTGAGTATTATTTCTTTCTTTAATAGGAATGCTTTTCAGCTATGGTGTAATGTTTTCCCATTTCAGACCATGTTTCATTCCCTTGAATATTATTTCTTTCTTTACTAGGAACGCTTTTCAGCTATGGTGCAATGTTTTCCTATTTTATACGACTTGTCATTCCCTTCCATCTCTCATTTATTCCACTCATTCTCATTCATTTCTTTTTTTCCAGAGCACCGGAAGTCAGCGTTCACATATAAGGATGGCAGAATCTATTGTGGAACATTTGTTGACGCAAAGGTATAGTATTGGGATACCTTGTTAATGCTCGGCCGTATCCTGAAACTGTTGTAGATCTATCCATCATAATTGTCGTTCTGATCAGCCTACAATGACATTCAGACACTGCCCGTCATGTGCTATCAACCAGAAAGTATTATATTTGGTATCATTCAGCTGAATGAATCTCATGAATCTTAATACCAGCCAAAAGAATGCCCATCATGTGCTTTCAACTATAGGGCATCCTAATGCTCGGTAACAATCAGCTGAAATAATCTCATTACCAGCCTACAATGACAGGCTAACACTGCCCGTCATGTGCTATCAACCATAAAACAATGTAATTTGTTTTTGTATATTATTTTTTCATCGTAGCGACACGGGCACGGTGTTGTAGCATGGCAGAACAGAACTCGATACGTTGGGAACTTCGAAGACGATGAGCGCAATGGTATCGGTGAACTGACGTACAGCACGGGCGAGAAGTACAACGGTGAATGGCTCGATGATAAACAGCGTAAGTATTTACGGCCATCCTCAATCATACGCGCCCTCAAGCGATTTTTTCTATCGCGACGAAGGTTTTTGTGGACGTCAATCACAAGGCGATTCCATAACATTGTCAGTAAACACAAAGCTATAAGGACACGTGCCTAGAATGTCATGGAAACGCCGGGTTTCCTCCCTACAAAAAACCTAACAAGCTACATTCACGCAACGCCTTTACGCTTGAAGTACGGGTCTGAATATTTCTGTGGATTTGTTTCCAGATGGAGTTGGCACTCTTACTTATCCCAATAACGATATCTATACCGGAGAGTGGCAGAGAGGGAAAATGAACGGAAAGGTATGTGTAAGACTACAGAAAAAATCCACTTTTCCCGCCTTCTTAGACGCGTGTACCATTTTTTGGAAGAAAAAGTTTCCCGCTCTTTTTWAATTTTTTTTTGACCATTAGCAAACGAATTTCTGTTGCATTCTTTTCTCTTTTCTTCCAAGTATTCGACTTTTTATTTCGCTATTGTTGAAGATATCTCCGTGTTCTTTCAGGGATTGATTAACTTCAGCAATGAGGATGTTCTTGATGGAGAGTTCGTCGATAATGAAGTGTGCGGTATCGCGAGATTGAACTGTGTTAATGGATTGACTTATGAAGGGACATGGAAAAACAGTAAGGTAAGTAAAGAAAAAGAGAGGAAAGCTAGAATGAAAATGAAGGAAGAATGAGGGAAATAAGGAAAGGATGGAAGGAAGGAAGGAAGGAAGGATGCCATAATGTATCAAATATCAAGCAACTTAGGAAGTCGAACTAAAGAACGTGAGGGCTTTCAAATAGGGGTCTCACAGCTTCCGTGTTGTAGGGCACAAGCGATGAAAAGTTTTTGCATAACATTTTTTTTGTGTTGAAGAAGATTATAAGTAGTCAGTTTCAAAGATACTGATTTTCTGTTTGTAATCTTCGTTGACAGAAACATGGAAAAGGAAGATTGATTAAACCTAATGGAGATACTTATGAGTATGTTAACGCTAATAAATTATTTATTGATATATTTATTATTACTATTGCTTAAAAATATCACTATCCATATTTATCACTAACACTGTTATTGTCATCATTATCCTAACGTATCATTATCACCACTTTCGTCAAATCGATCATTGTCATCATCACAATCATCAACACCATCGTTATTATCACCATCATTACCGCCATCATCATTATCACTATCATTATCACCACCAACATCATCATCACCGTTCTTGTCATTGGGATTATCATCATCATTATCATATATCACTACCATCATCTTCACGACTGTGAAAAGCTCAGTGCCGTAAGCGTGACGTGCCGTGACGTGATACTTTCTAGAATTTTAATTGGCTGATTTTATTCACGCGCAATATGATTGGTCTAAAAGCGCCGTGATCATGGCGTGACCGTGTCCTTGCCGTGTTTATGGCGTGTTCCGGGTATTTGATTGGATAGAGAGTAAATTCTCGTGCAATGTGATTTGTCTGGCGTATCCCTTTGCTGTGTCACGACCGTGTTCGTGCCGTGAACTTTTCACAGTCATACGAAAACTGCACTATATCACCATCATCACCATCATCATTATCATATATCACCATCATCACCATCATCATTATCATATATCACCATCATCACCATCATCATTATCATA